TTACTTCTGGTATATTGTATTCATTGTAGGCCATAGGCAACTCATTAACCATGGCCCAGACTTAATAGGAAGGGAATTAAGCTCCACACCTTGATGGGTAGAGTATCACAGAATGTGTGGATATTATCTTAAAGTTACCATAGAGAATTTTTTTGTCCTCCCATCACTTTCTCCAGGTATCCACAGAGAGAAAATAATAAGAACAAACTTGAATACAGGACTGCCACCCTCCCTAACAAAGCTGGCTGTAAGTATCCAAACAATCCCTGCTCTTGCCTTAACTTTTTTTTTTTTTTAATTGAGGAAGGTTTAATGTTTTTATGTAAATACACGATGTTTACACACAGAGTCAACCTTCTGGTAATACACATTTGTGGAGTCAAATTTATTTAAAAAAATGCATAAAATACTGTAATTAGAATTCTCTAAAAGTCTCTATACAATTTATACTCCAAATATTGGAAATGATGTAAAGATGAAATACATAGCATAGCAAATAGTAAAATTAATTCTCACAATTTAAAATGATGAAAAAAAAAGAATAAGAAAAATGAAAACAAGCAACAAATCTCCCCAAATGAAAAGAAAATTGGGCATATTAAAAAAATATTTTACAGGGATAGATTATGGGCAATTGTACAGAGGCTGTCCACATAGCTGGATGACTTTCCTGATCATTAACCACATACAGAATTCTTGAGCCACTATGAATAACTGCTTGATCTCTTTTAGGATGTGGCTCTCCTCAGAGAAAATGTTCATATTCTGTTTCCACATGGTGCTGCTCTTTCTCGAATTCTTCTGTGATTTCTGTGATTGTGATTTTCAAGAATTTAGGCATTAAGGATTGTAGGCGTTAGGCATTTAGACTTTCAAGATCTGATCTTTCAGGATTTCAACGTTTGGGATTATGGTGTGCACGACTGTGTCTTTTGTGGTTATTATCCAAACTTGGCTAAAATTCCTGCCTTTGTTCTTTGACAGCACTCTCATACATGTCAAATGAAAAACTACATGTATAAATTTAGTTGCCTTAACTTTTCTTAAAAACATCTATGGGGGGTGGTGGTGTTGCCTGTGGCTCAGTGGGTAGGGCGCCAGCCCCATATACTGAGGGTGGCGGGTTCAAACCCGACCCCCACCAAATTGCAACAAAAAAATAGCTGGGTGTTATGGTGGGCGCCTGTAGTCCCAGCTACTCAGGAGGCTAAGGCAAGACAATGACCTAAGCCCAGGATTTGGAGGTTGCTGTGAGCAATGCCACAGCATTCTACTGAGGGCAATAAAGTGAGACTCTGTCACTATAAGAAAAAAAAAAGGTCTATCTCTTTTCCTTAAAGGGAATCTTATTTGAAGAATTTGTACTAAAGAAAGATCACACTCCTGAAATAACCTGCTTTATTCATTTGTGTCTCTCATCAGTAGAATTTCAGACAGTATTACAAAGTGAAATTAAAAACAACAAAAAACAACCTACTCCAAAACTGGATGAATTACATTTAGGGCAGTGGTTCTCAACATTCCTAATGCCGTGCCCCTTTAATAGAATGCCTGTGGGTCGCAACCCACAGGTTAAGAACCACTGATTTAGGGGGTTAGGGAAGCAACCCTTAGTAAGTTCTTTCCCTTCAGCTGACTATGACCAGAGTGCCCTGCTTTTTGAATATTCTAGATAATAATCTTCTCTTCCTGTTCTAGGAACCATGAAATCTGTGATCCAGGTTTCCTAACTTGAGTCCCTTGGCTGTAGTTCTTTAGGAATACACATATGTTGTTATAAAAATACAACATTCATGAACACTGGTATAAATAGGAGTTTGCACCACAATTCAATCCCCACTAGAAGGTAGGGGCTTACTCTATAATAGTGATTTTCAACTGGCATGCCACAGCATACTGGTGTGCCATGAGAAGATCATAGGTGTGCCTCAAAAAATTTTAAAGATCATTAATTAAATTATTTTTGAAAGAATTTCAAAACACAGTAAGTATATTCTTTTTCTTTTTTTGATCAATGGAATTTAAGTGTGCTGAGGAAGTTTAAGTATAGGTTCAAGTGTACAGAGATAAAAAAGGTTGATAAACACTGCTTTATAAGATGAACTCTCCTGACAATGTTATTGTTTGCATTGTTTTTAACCTTGAGTTAATTAGATTATTAACTCGCTCTGAGAATATGATCAAAGCTAAAAGATGTATCCCAAAAGATACACACACTCACAAAATTTTTGACATAAGTTTAAAGCCTCCCGAACTCCCTACACTCATTCAGGAGATCCGGATTAAGAATCTCTAAGACTAGAAGAGGGGAGAACTTATGCTATTCCATTTTGCCATTAAAATTTAGGTTTAAATCAGAAGCTACTACTCGGAACTTAATTCTTTTTAATGTTTTGGGGTCTGTTTGGCTTTTTCTTTTATTGTTGTTAAATAGAACCAAAGACCAAACAGGTGTCTCTACAGGAAAACCTGGTTTTATTGCACTTTGCTTTATTGCACATCTCAGATACAGCATTTTTTTTTATTGAAGGTTCATGGCAACCCCAAATCAAGAAAGTCTTTCAGAAGCCATTTTACCAAAAGCATATGCTTGCTCTGTGTCTGTCACATTTTAGTAATTCTCTCAATTATTTTAAGCTTTTTCATTATTATTATATGTAACAGTGATCTGTGACATAATTATTTGGGGGCACCAAAACCATGTCCATATGAGAAGGCAATCTTCATCAATAAATGTTGTACATTTTCTTACTGCTTCATCAGCTGTCACTGCAGTGTCCCCCAACAATATTAAAATTATGCCAATTTAGGCCAATTAATTGCCCAACTCCTGGGCTCAAGCGATCCTCTTGCCTCAATTTTTCTATTTTTTGTAGAGACAGGGTCTCACTTTTGCTCAGGCTAGTCTCAAACTCATGAGCTCAAACAATCCACCCACCTTGGCCCCTGAAGTGCTAGGATCACAGGCATGAGCCACCTCGCCCAACCATGTGAAATTAAAAAATGTATTCACAATTCATGGGAGGAGATCAAAATATCAACATTAACAGGAGTCTGGAAGAAGATTCTAACCTTCATGGGTACTTTGAGGGGTTCAAGACTTCAGTGGAGGAAGTAACTGCAGATGGCATAGAAATAGCAAGAGAACTAGAAGTGCCTGAATTGCTGCCATCTCATAAAACTTGAATGAGGACATGGTGGCTCATGCTTATAATCCTAACACTTTGGCAGTCCAAAGGGGTAGGATCATATGAGCCCAGGAGTTTGAGACCATCCTGGGTGAGACCCCTGTCTCTACAAACATTTTTAAAAATTGGGCAGAGCCAATGGCTCAGTGAGTAGGGCACTGGCCCTGGATATTGAGGGTGGTGGGTTCACACCCAGCCCCAGCCAAACTGCAACAAAAAAATAGCTGGAACTATAGTCCATAAAGTAGAAGGGAAGAGGAGAGAGGGGTGGGGAAAGGGGATATGGGAGAAAGGATTGGGAGAAGGAAGGGTATTCGGGGGGACCTCACCTAATGTGCATGATGCAATGGTACATTTCAAAACTATTAAGAAA